CTCAACTCTTCATTACTATCGTCCGATACGTTCTGCCGTCCGAGGACCACACGATCCAGAAACTCCTACTGCTGTACCTCGAGATTATCGACAAGACGGATTCCGCTGGGAAGATTCTGCCTGAAATGATTCTCATCTGCCAGAATCTGCGCAACAATCTGCAGCATCCGAACGAGTACATCCGCGGTGTGACGCTGCGATTCCTCTGCCGACTCCAGGAGACGGAGCTCATCGAGCCGCTCATTCCCTCCATCCTATTGAATCTGGAGCACCGGCACCCGTTCGTGCGTCGCAACGCCATCCTGGCGGTGATGAGCATCTTCAAGCTGCCCAACGGCGACCACCTGCTGCAGGACTCGGGCGAGATGATCGAGAAGCTTATTGCCAACGAGCAGGACCTCTCGGCCAAGCGGAACGCCTTCCTCATGCTCGAGAACTGCGCTCAGGTAAGCACAGAACGGCGCCAGGGAGGGAATAGCTTGTTAGGTGAGCCGCCTTCTTGCCGGTCGACTGGGGGAGATGGTGTGTCTTGAGACTTGAGTAGGTGGTGAAGTGCTGTTCCCTGAGCCCGTAGGCTGAACATATACGAGTATCCTGTGGAGGTCCTTTTTGGGTTCGGATGCGGGTTGCGAGAGGAGGTGCAGTGGACCGTGCTGCGAAGCACGGCTTCTTGCCGTCGTAAGCTTAGATTCTCTTGCGGCTGAGATCGCGCTGGTCAGTCGATTTCGGTGATATCTCGACATGGGAGTGTTCCAAGCGATCGATGCCCTCATGACGCAACACTGTTCCCTTGCATCATACATCAATCAACCCGTCCCCCTGCCTCATTCCCTCTGTCGTCTCCCATCCGTCTCCCCGCGCGACTGGCGTGGCAGGATCGCGCGGTGCACTACCTGCTGAGCAACCTGGACAACGTACCGCTGTGGGGCGACATCCTGCAGATGGTGGTGCTGGAGCTCATCCGCAAGGTGTGCCGCACCAACCCGGCGGAGAAGGCCAAGTACATCAAGATCATCCTCTCCCTCATGTCCTCGCCCTCCTCCGCCGTCGTCTACGAGTGCGCCGGCACGCTCATCGCGCTCTCCTCCGCGCCCACCGCCATCCGCGCGGCCGCCAACTGCTACTGCCAGCTGCTGCTGTCGCAGTCGGACAACAACGTGAAGCTGATCGTGCTGGACCGGCTGCAGGAGCTGAAGAGCAAGCACCGCGAGGTGATGGTGGACATGGTCATGGACGTGCTGCGCGCGCTCTCCAGCCCCAACCTCGACATCCGCCGCAAGACGCTCGACATCGCGCTCGACCTCATCACGCCGCGCAACATCGACGAGGTGGTGATGACGCTCAAGAAGGAGGTGGTGAAGACGCAGGGCACGGACGTGGAGAAGGGCGGCGAGTACCGCCAGATGCTCGTGCAGGCGATTCACACGTGCGCCGTCAAGTTCCCTGACGTCGCCTCCTCCGTCGTGCACCTGCTCATGGACTTCCTGGGCGATCAGGTGGGTGGGTCCCGTCACGCCAGTGTGTGCCTCAGGAAACGCTTTGAGGTTGTTCGTGCTGAAGTTTATAGACGGGTTTTGATGCGAATGGAGGGGAAGCGAAGCGTGCAAAGCCTTTTTTTTCCCTCCGTGCCCATTTCGTCCACCTCCATGTTCGCGTCCCTTCCTTCCCCCTCTCCTCCCGCCCGCACACCCCCCACCGCCCGCCCGCTCCGCGCGCAGAACGTGGCGTCGGCGCTGGACGTGGCGTTCTTCGTGCGCGAGATCATCGAGACCAACCCGCGCCTGCGCGAGTCCATCATCTCGCGCCTCCTCGACACCTTCTACCAGATCCGCTCCTCCCGCGTCGCCTCCTGCGCGCTTTGGATCGTCGGCGAGTTCGCGCAGACGCTCCCCGAGGCGCAGCACGCGATGGCGACCATCAAGCAGTCGCTGGGCGACCTGCCCTTCTACACCACCGCCTCCGCTGACGCCGATGCTGACGCCGCTGACGCCGCCAAGCCCGTGGCTCCGGGCGTCACGGCGGTTCCGCCCCCGCCGCCGGTCATCGCGACGTCCAAGCGCCCCGCGGTGCTGGCGGACGGCACGTACGCGACGCAGAGCGCGGCGTCGGAGGTGAGCGCGGCGCCCACGGCCGTGGTGGCGGCGGCAGGAGGCGCGGCGGCGAACCTGCGGTCGCTGCTGCTGGCAGGGGACTTCTTCCTGGGGAGCGTGGTGGGCACGGCAATGACGAAGCTGGTGCTGCGGCTGGAGCAGCTGATGACGGACAAGGCGGAGGTGAACGCGGTGACGGTGGACGCCATGCTGTACCTCGTGGGCATCCTGCGCCTGGGGCAGTCGTCCGCGCTGCCCCAGCCCATTGACGACGACTCGTACGACCGCATTGCGCTCTGCCTGCGCATCCTCGCGCGCCCCACGGACGTGATGCGGCGCGTGTGGCTGGCGTACTGCCGGCAGTCGTTTGGCAAGATGATCAGCGAGAAGGTGTCCCGTGAGAGCGAGGAGAGCAAGGCCAACGCCGCGCTCGCCGTGGCACAGCCTGACGACCTCATTGACTTCTACCACCTCAAGAGCCGCAAGGTGGGATGGGCGGGGGGGTCTGTCCACGGTTCCAATGTGTGCCCGGGTTGCCTCCGGTGGTGTCGACTGTGATTGTGTTCGTACCTACTACCCTCCTTAGCTTTGTTGCCCCTTCTCTCTCCCTGGCCCCTCTCCCCCCATTCTCCTTCTCTCTTCTTATCTCCCTGTCTCCATGAAGACATGTCTTTCCCAGTGCCCCCCTTTCACCCCTTTCTAACCGTCTTGTATATCTCTCTTCCTGCACCACCCCTGGCCTGGCCCCTCATCGCTCCCCTCGCGCGTGCATGGCTGTGCTGTGCAGGGCATGTCGCAGCTGGAGCTGGAGGACGCGGTGGCCAACGACCTCAAGCGCGCCACTGGCGAGTACGGCCGCGACGACGCCGCAGGCGGAGGGCGCAAGCTGAACCGCGTGCTGCAGCTGACGGGGTTCAGCGACCCCGTGTACGCGGAGGCGTACGTGACGGTGCACCAGTATGACATCGTGCTGGACGTCACTGTTGTGAATCGCACGCGCGAGACGCTGCAGAACCTGTGCCTGGAGCTCGCCACCATGGGCGACTTGAAGCTCGTGGAGCGGCCTCAGAACTACACGCTGGCGCCCGACAGCAGCAAGCTCATCCGCGCCAACATCAAGGTGCGTTGTGTTGGAGCTGAACTGCTGTTTCCTTATGGATGAGGCTCATTACAATAAAAGCAGAAGCTGAGTGTGGGCTGAGCTTTCACCATGGACCATCTGAATGCATATTCGAGCACGAAAATGCTTGAATGCTGGAGCATGCCCAACCCTTTGTCTCTCCTTCCCTCTCCACCTCCCTCCCATCTTCATTCCCCTATCACCCCCACACTCCACCTCACGGAACCTGTCCCACGGGTGGCAGGTGTCGTCAACAGAGACGGGGGTGATCTTTGGCAACATAGTGTACGAGAGCACGAGTGTGCTGGACCGCAACGTGGTGGTGCTGTCGGACATCCACATCGACATCATGGACTACATCTCCCCTGCCTCCTGCGCTGACGTCGCCTTCCGCAACATGTGGGCCGAGTTCGAGTGGGAGAACAAGGTGAGCCGGTGGTGGATGCGTGGTGTGCTCAGTGGCATGTTGGAATGGGGACGAGTCTGCTATGCTGGCATGATTAAGAACTGCTGGTTGTTGACGTGCTGATGAATGTTATTGGTTCTGTACCCATCTCATTTGTCCACTAAACTTTTGTGTGTGTGTGAGAGAGGGTGTGTGTGTGGGGGGGGGGATGTGTGTGTGGGTCTGTGTTATGAGTGTGTGTGTGTATGTGTGTGTGTGTATGTGTGTGCATGTGTGTGTGTGTGTGTGTGTGTGTGTGTGTGGGTGTGTGTCTACCCCACCAGGTGGCGGTGAACACAAGCATTGGGGACACGAATGAGTTCCTTCAGCATATTGTTGCATCTACCAACATGAAGTGCCTCACTCCGCCGTACGTCCCACCCTCAAATGGTTCTCTTTTCCATCTTCTTTCGTTCAAAGGTTTACACCCTCTCTCTTTTCTTGTCTTCCCATTCTCGCTAGGTAGGAGCTCCATTCTTTCTGCAGTCTGTGCCTGCACGCATTCCACAATAATGCCATACTTCAAACCTGTGTGCTTGCAGGTCCCAGCTGGCGGGTGATTGTGGGTTCCTGGCAGCCAACCTATACGCCAAGAGCGTGTTTGGGGAGGATGCTCTGGTGAATGTGAGTGTGGAGAAGCAGAGTGATGGTAAACTGGCAGGCTACATCCGCATTCGGAGCAAGACGCAGGGGATTGCACTCAGCCTCGGAGACAAGATCACACTCAAACAAAAAGGCACCTCTTGAAGTCAAGCCATGCCGAGGCAGTGGTCACAACCAGGGATGTGGTGACTGGGACACACCAGTTATACCGGAAGAGCCTCTTTTATGAAAGCGGAGTTTGGGGGGAGTACAGGAAATTCGCTTGGGGTTTGTAGGAACACTTGGGTTTAGGAAAGTATTAACAAAAGCTTGAAAAGATTCTTAGTTTTCAGTGTCGCTGGATAACGTGTAATGTGTCAGTTTTGGCAAGTCTAAACTTCCCCATCCTTTCACTGTGATGAAGCCGTCGATGTCGAATCCTTACAGCACCTGCTTGAGAACAGGCCAGGCGGGCCCCCATGATTGGGCCACGCGGACAGCCTCTCATCCCTCCCGTTCCGACACTCCCCCACGCGAAGCTCCGCGCCGTAGAGGGAAGAGCTAAGGGGGAGTGGCGGAGCATTTTCCGCGCACCCCTCAACCAAGGGGAAAGGCGTATGTTACTCTTGAGGTTGCCAGGATTGTAGGAAGTAGGCCAGTTTAGTAGGCGGGCGATCTCACACTTCAACCCTCTTCTCGAGACCAAAACATCGGAGACCGAAGCTCGAGAAGAGAACGTCTATTCAAAATCGCTTTAGTGGTTATGGCTCACGCTATGGCGTCGCCAGTCGCAGCGTCCATCTCCACTGCCAGGTACGATGAATGGTCACTCAATACCTCAACGATAGGTCAATGTCGCTATCGAATCGCATTGTAGCTTGAGAGATAAAATCGTCGCAGTGCTTTCGAATTGATCCGAAAGTGCTCTTGAATTCGTGACTTGAATCTTCTCAGTGCAGTACCCTTGTCACTGCCACTGAAAATTCCTCTTGCTAGTTCCTTCTTTCTCCCACACCATTCCGTCGCGTCCGTCGTCTTCTGTCCTCCCCATTTTCTGTGCTATTCCACGCCCGAGGTTCTGACGGTTGTCGTGTGCGCGGCCTTGTTTGTCAGGCTAGCGCAGCCAGCAGCGTCGCTATCGGCGTCGCCCTCGTGGCAGCAACCCTTTGTCGGCCTTCAGTCGCAATCGTCCTCCGGTACGCACCCTGCCGGCCCCGCCCCTGCGCGCTCCTCCCCCACCCCCCTCACCCCCCTCCCCGCCCTTCTCCACCCTATACCCCGCTATAACCCTCACAATGTCCCGTGACGGCACACCACGGCATCCCTAGCGATCCGTCTTGCCGCAGTGATCGCAGGATTGCACATGTCGTTCTCGTCGCTTCTGCGCTTCTTCTCCCTTTATCTGTGCTCGGTTATCCCCTGGCGCTCACATTTCTGCCTTTTCCTCCCCCTTGCGCTCGCCGATCCTCTTGGTCGCGCGCGCCACCTCTCACCGCGCAGTGGCGTCGTTGCGTGGCGGCGCGCGTTCGCTCTCCGACCGCCTCTTCCACACCGTAGCCGCCGCCACCACCGCCGCTCGTCCCGCCGGGTGCGCACCGCTAGGAGTGACTCCGATGTTTCCGCTCTCCTCCTGCTGTGCCGTCTCCCCGCGCTTATGCCGTGTCCTCAGCGACCATAGCTTGCGACAGCGCTCCCTCTCTTGGGCTTTTTCACACACTACCAAGCTTATCCTTCGCCCTGTCGTCGTGGTTTTATCTTCCCCATTTCACGATAGCTAGGCTCGTTTTCTCCATCCCCAACCTCTCCGTTTCCATGCCCCACCGCCCCTCCCCCCCCCGTGGCCATGTGCTGGCTGCGCGCAGCGCGGGGCGGCGAGCGCGCGTGGTGATGATGCCGATTGGCACGCCCAAGGTGCCGTACCGCACGCCGGGCGAGGGCGGCTGGCAGTGGGTCGACATCTGGAACGTGCTGGTACGCTCTCGCGCCCGCTTCGCACCTCGTGCCATGATCGCCTCCCTCCTTCCGTTTTCCACTGCCGCTGCGCATTCTTAGCTGCACACACGTCCTTCCAACCAGCCTTGGTCCCCCTTTCGCTCTCAATCCACCTCCGATCAACTCCACCTCTCGATCCCCCCACTCTCTCCCCCCTGTTCATCCGCTGTGCGGCGTGTGCGCGGTGCTGTGTCGCCAGTACCGGGAGCGGATCATATTCATAGGGCAGTTCATGGACGAGGAGTACACGAACCAGGTGCTGGCCACCATGCTGTACCTGGACAGCCTTGACTCCTCCAAGCCCATGTACATGTACATCAACAGCCCCGGTGGCGAGGTCAGTCACTGCCCCTCTGCTCCTCCGCACGCCTCTAATCGCCTTTTCCAAGTGCTGCTGCGCTGGTTCAGCAGGGTGTTCTCTCGCCCTTCTGTTTTGCTGTCTCGCTGCTATGCTCTTGTGAGTTTGTTGTTCATCTGCGCTTTGTTAACAAACACGCATGTGCATGTGTGCAGTTGACGCCGACGCTGGCGCTGTACGACACGATTCGCTCCATCAAGTCCCCGGTGGGCACGTTGGCTCTCGGCTACGCCTACAACAACGCCGGCTTCCTCCTTGCTGCCGGCACCAAGGTGGGCGCGCCCTCCCCACACACTGCCTAGTCCACCACACCATGCCCACCACACCCATGTGCCCACTCACACAGGCGATCCCGGTTGCCTGAGCAGCCATTTCCCCGTCACAGCCCCTGCTGCGCCACGCCGCGCGCCACAGCGTTTCCTGCGCTGCCCGTTGTCGCTCCTGCCTGACCGCATTGCTGCCTTGAGTGTGTCATTCGCCCAAAATGCCCTCTCTGACCCACCCACTTCCGTGTGTGTGTGCGCCTGCCCCCCTCGCAGGGACTGCGTGTGGCCATGCCCATGACCCGAGTGGCTCTGCAATCACCTGCAGGAGCTGCCCGTGGCCAGGTGAGTTGCGTTTCAACAGGCCACGCATGCCTCCCTTGCCTCACAGCTGCCGCAGTGCCTCACACCTGCGAGTTTCACTCACCACATAGCTGTCACCACACGGACCTTTAGCCTCTGGGCGCCTCATGGTCCGTAGCCAGTGGCCAGGCTTCTGTGCAGTTCTCGTGTGTTTGCTGCGTGCTCAACGCGGTTCCACATGCGGTGCGCGTGTGTGGCCATGTGCTGGCGCTGGCAGGCGGATGACATTCAGAACGAGGCAAGGGAGCTGTCCCGGGTTCGCACGTACGTGTTTGGGGAGCTCGCTAAAATGACAGGCCAGCCCGTGGAGAAGGTACGAGCCTATGATGCATACACCTTCGTGGCTCGCCTGCCTCTCTCTCTCCCTCTCTCTCTCTCTCTCTCTCTATCTCTCTCTCTCTCTCTCTCTCTCACTCACTCACTCTCTCTCTCTCTCACTCTCTCTCTCTCTCTCTCTCTCTCTCTCTCTCTCTCTCTCTCTCTCTCTCTCTCTCTCTCTCTCTCTCATTCTCTCTCTCTCACTCCCCCCCCCCAGTGCGTCCATTCCCTCTGTAGCCATGCTAACATGCCTCACATTGTCTCATGCTTCACATGGTCAATCAATATCTGCCCCTCACCTCACAAGTTGGGAAGTGTCTTTTTGCTCGTCATACCACACCCATCTGCCCATGATGACTGAGGCGTGCAGGTGACCAAGGACCTGTCACGGATAAAGCGGTTCAGTGCGCAGGAGGCGCTGGACTACGGCCTCATTGATCGCATTGTTAGGCCGCGCCGAGTCAAACCCGATGCCGCATCTCGCCAGCCCATCGGTGCCGGCCTAGGCTGATGACTGCAAGATTTGCTCTGTGCTCGTTTCTCAACATTCACTGTTTCTGAGTAGCACAACTTGAAGATGGGATGCCAACATATTGTGGTTGACTCATAGGTGGGACCGTGATAGATCTCGTTCACTCAGTTGTACACAATGCATGTAGAGATCGCTTTAGAACATTTGTCTGGAAAGTCACTACCGTAGCACACCTATCTCAGCCTTGTTTTTAAGGGGTACTGGTAAACCGTAATGAGCCTGGAAGTTGATTGCTAGCCTCTAATTATTTATGAACTGTAATGAACCTGGACGAGCTGTTCAGATGACATTTTTATTTGCAAGAGCGGTTTTCCGCGTATCAAGAATCTGTGAGGTGTACACGTCGTTGTGCTATAGTGATTGGTCGGACCTTTCCAGCATGGCGACACATGATGGGTAGGTTTCAAATCGACGGACAGAGCTGATGTCATCTTCAAGGCGCTTCGTCATGCTCACCAATCCAAGGATGGTGCGGACGTGGATCCACCTTACCCCTTTCATCCAATACTGTAACTCTAGCCTTCAGGACAGCTGGTTGGCCAGACTGCTGCTGGGGCAACATTGATATCTGTCACGGGCGCCAGATCCAGGCCGGATTGAGGCTCCCTAGAGAAGAGGTTGCAAATCAGTGCTAGGTCAAGTACAAAGGCTCGACTGGAACAGAGCTGCTAAATTTACCTTTTACTCGTGTTTCTCCTTACCGAGTCGTTGCTATTCCAGCGACTTCGCAAGAGCAACCACTAGCACCATGGCGTTGAATCTGATGTGGACAATTGTTGCTGTTTGCATCTTGGGCAACGTGGCGAGCGCATCGAGAGTTGGTCCTGCGGAGAATCTGGCCATGGTGACGGACGATGCCCTTGGCATGCTCGGTGAAGGTCATCTTGTTTCCGAATTCAGAGCCTTTGCCAGCAGGTGCGAGGCATTGAGTTGCCGTAAACTTCGATTCAATTCAAGCACGGAATTGAGCTTTCATGACTGTGTTTCAGGTTTGCCAAAGCTTACACGACGCAACATGAAGCTTTGAAGCGGTTTCGCATTTTCACTGAAAACTGGAGACTGATTCACGAGGCTAATTCCGCCGACCTGCCGTACAAGCTTGAAATCAATGGTGAGTAATCGCTTCAAATTACTAAAATAATTATGAGGCTGAATTTGACGAAAGGCTGCTATGTTTTTCAGAGTTTGCTGATATCTCTTGGGATGAATTCAAGCAGCACAAGCTGGGCGCGTCTCAAAATTGCTCAGCTACGGATGGTGGTCATGTTTTGACTCACAAAAACCTGCCGTTGCGTGTGAGTTTCTTCGTGTTAACTACATCGTGCGCTTATGTACCGTAATTCATGTCTTCGAAGAATCTGCTCATAGTCTCACTCCATTGTTCCTGATTGATTCTGCAGAAAGATTGGCGGGATGAGGGTGTTGTTAGCCCAGTTAAGAATCAAGGCCACTGCGGTTCCTGCTGGACCTTCAGGTATAGCTGCTGCAATATTCATACTCCCCAAAAAATATAGTATGCCTAACGTACTTTGTGCTTCGGTGCAGCACCACTGGAGCCTTGGAGGCGGCGTACCTTCAAAAGACTGGTAATTTCGTCTCGCTCTCTGAGCAACAGCTGGTTGATTGCGCTGGGGAGTACAATAATCACGGCTGCAACGGTGGCTTGCCATCTCAGGTAACTTGTTAAAAGCTACCAGAGAGTAGTTACAACTTTGGAAGTTACTCAATGTTTTTTTTTACGCATGGTGCAGGCGTTTGAGTATGTGAAGTACAATGGTGGCATTGATACAGAGGACGCGTATCCCTACCTAGGTCAGAATGACCAGTGTCACTTCTCTCCCAAGCGGATTGGAGCACGAGTTGCAGATGTTGTAAACATTACAGAGGTAAGCGTCTGATGAGCTGTAACTGGTACTAGACAGAGTCAAATCGTTTTTTTTTTTTTCCTTTCTCACAAGTTAATTTCTTGTCAATTCCAGTACGATGAGGCGAGTCTTCAAGATGCTGTGGCATTCGTTCGCCCTGTCAGTATCGCGTTTGAGGTGGTGGATGGTTTCCGGTTCTACAAGAGTGGAGTTTACGTTTCAGACACTTGCAAGTCGGGACCTGATGTAGGCACATTCGTCCTGCTATTTTCCATCGCTTTTATTTCTACAAACGAGCACGTTGACAGTAATTTTTGTCTCTTGCAGACTGTCAATCATGCTGTTCTGGCGGTTGGGTACGACACCTCTGAGGATGTTCCTTATTGGATTGTCAAGAATTCCTGGGGCGCTGAGTGGGGTGATCAAGGATTTTTCAAGATCAAGCTGGGAGAGAATATGTGTGGTGAGTGAATAACCCTTCTATTTTTGGATGGCTGTTTCTAAACGTTGTTTCATTACTCAATCTCGGCCTGGTTAACGTTGCAGGTGTGGCAACTTGTGCATCCTACCCTGTGCTCGAAGACTAGTCCACATCTTACCACTGACCTGAGAGGTTTGAGGGAGATGACGTGAGGCATCTTCCCATCTGCTACATATACGGTAGTTGCCCTGCTAAACTGATGGAATTTCTGTTTTGGGCTTGGATACAAGCTTCTTCAACATATGTGAACATAAGAATATATCTAAAGCTGTTTTTACTTGCACCAGATTCTTTTAGTGAAGGATTCAACGTTTTCCAGTACCTGACCAGATATCAGATCATATGATTTTATTTGTAAAATTGCTGGGCACAGGTCCCTAAACCCAACACATGCATGCATACCATGAACGACTCTTGGAAACAAAATAATCCAAAACAGGTTCCTCAAGGTGCAAGGCGCTGAGGATCACGGGGAAACATGGATGACTTGCGAATGTTGTTGAGGCCACAGAAGAGCATTACCACTCGCTCCAGACCCACACCAATGCCTCCGTGAGGCACAGCGCCGAACCTGGAGGGACACAGTCGAGACTGAGTGCATGAGCAGGATGGGACACGACGGCTGGTACATGGACAGCAAACTAAGACTTCACAAACATCTTTTGGTATGGGAAGAAAGAGAGAGTACTGGGATGAGAAAATGTGGCAGAGGGCAGACACTGATGAAATGGGAGTACCGGAAGGAGTCGATGTAAGGCGCGATGGTCTTGATGTCAATGCCGCACTCTGTGGCGCGGCGAGCAAGGAAGTCAGCGTCGTGGATTCGCTGTGCTCCAGAAAGAATTTCCTCGCCTGCTCCAGAGGGATAGGAAGGCTTGTACACATTTAGATGCAGACGAAGACTCCAATGAGCGGAAGTCCTTGCTTCTTCCAGTCACTTCGCTCTGCTGCATTTCATCTGTGGAACTGCATCCATGCATTCTCATTCACAAGGGCCATAAGTCCCCCTACCGCGAATGAAGACATCAAACGAATTGGTGTAGCGGCCGTCATCCGGGCACGGCATCGTGTAGAAGGGACGAACAGCCAGGGGGTAGCGATGCATGATGTAGAAATCCACACCATACCTGATGCATGGGGGGAGAAGGGAAACACAGAAAAGAGGAAGAGGGAGCAAAACACTTTGTTTTGGACATAAGTGGGCTAGGTTCTTACAGTGAGCCATGCCCCGAAACACACCAAATCAATCAAACTTCACTCATTCGTCCTCCCCTTCAGTCCCTCCCCTCACCCCTTGGTCCACGGCTCACTTTTGCTTGACCAGCTCGCCCAGCTTCTTCTCCTGCTCCGTGTTAATGTCTCCAAATGCATCCACCTCAAACCCCGCCTCCTGCACACCGTGCCATGCCATGCCATGCACGAAAGTTGGGGAAAAGGAGGGAAAGGACGGAAGAGAAGGTGTTGAAGAGGGTGTGCAAGGAAGGTGAAACGGGCAGCAGGTCTGAGGGTACAAGGAACAAAAATAACAGCAAGGTTTCCTATCAATCAAAACGCATGCTGGGCGCGGTGTGAATAAGCAGAGGCGAAAGACTGGGCTGGCTACAAAGCGGCAATCACCTTGAGCATAGCCAAGCCTTCCGGGAATGTGATGCGCACTCCCTCCTTGGTGTACTGCACAGGGTGATGGGCGTGACGGAGAAGCACGGCAAAAGTGAGTGAGCTGACGCGTGCGCATGTTAAGGCCAGGGAGGGAGGGATGCGGGGGATGGGAGGGAGGGAGAGAGTGGGAGAGAGAGGGAGAGAGGGAGTGGGGGGAGGAGTGGGAGAAGGTAGCGTGTAAGTGAAACAACAAACGACGCAAACATGCGCACAGAAGACACCACAACGACGGCCGAAGAAGGGAGAGGAAAAGGTGGCATGAAGGAGAAGAGCAGCAAAGGGCCCGAGAGCAGGCGGACCTTGAGCGGTTCAAAGGGGTACTGCTGGTTGATGGCGGCGAGCTCCTTGGCACAGCGTGTGTTGAGCCCATCGAATATGTGCACGAAGAGGTCGTTTATCACGTCCATTATCTGCCCATCACCGAGGGTGGGTGGGTGGGTGGGTGGGCACACAGGGGCGGGGAAATGGAGGTGCACTGGAGCCACGTCGCAAATGTAGGCCAGTCCAGCTGGGGTGATGAGGCTGGAGAGAGCAACACCAAGCACGAATGATACACGATTCACCATGCACCGCGAGCAACGTTCCCTCTGATTGTTTGCAGTGACCCGGCCGCCTGAAATTGCACATCGTCTTGGAATTCCTCTACCCCCCACCATCCCCTCCCATTCCCCCCCCTCCCCACCTTTTCCCCCCTTTTCCCCCTCTCCTGACCCCTCCTCCTCCCACGCCCCCTCCCCATTCCCTTCCCCCTCCCCCACCCCTTCCTCTCCTTCCCCCCACCTCCCTCCCATCCCAACCCCCCACCTCAGAGTAGTGCTCCTTGATCTCCATCTCAAAGTCCATGCCAGTGAACTCGCACTCCCCCTCCTACTCACATTCTCCCTCTCCATCCCGCACCTCCCCTCCCCTCTCATCCCCCCCCTCCCTCCCACCTCAGAGTAGTGCTCCTTGATCTCCATCTCAAAGTCCATGCCAGTGAACTCGCACAGGTGCCGGTGCGTGAACGAGTCTTCAGCGCGGAACACGGGCCCGATCTCAAACACGCGCGCCAGGTCCGCGCACACCGCCATCTGCTTGTACAGCTGCGGGGACTGCGCCAGGCACGCCGCCTGCCCCTTATAGTCCAGCCGAAACACCGCGGCCCCGCCCTCACTGGACCCCCCGATGAGCTTGGGCGTGTGGATCTCTATGAAGCCGTGTGAGGAGAGGTAGTCGCGGAAGAGGTGTCCCACGGCGGATTGCACGCGGAAGATGGCCTGGTTGGCCGGCGTGCGCAGGTCCAGCACGCGGTGGTTCAGCCGCGTGTCCTGCCCCACCCGCACGTACTGCACCCCCGCCTGTTGTGCGTGGGGGCAAGGAGGTGGAGGGGGGGACGGAGCGGGGCGGAGTGGAGGGAGGAGAGGCGGGATGGAGGCGGGAAATGGAGCGGTGTGGGCGGGTTAGGGGGGAGGGAGGCACGGCGAAGCAGGGCGGAAAAAAAAAACGCAAGCAATGGCGTGAGGAGGATCCCAAGAATAATCAACAACCACAGAAGCGTCGGCGGCGGCGGCGGCGGGGGCAGCAGCAGCATGAGCAGGTTACCTTCTCGGCGTCCTCGATCTCCTTCTCGCTCCTGGACGCGTCGTCGATGTTGAGTGGCAGCACGGGCAGCGCGCGCGACACCGCGTGCACCGTGCGCACATGCAGCTCCACCTGCGGGGGAAAGCGCGCGCACGGGGGGAGGGAAAGGTTGGCGGGGTGGGCGGGGGGAAGAAATGAAGGGAGAGCGGTTTGGCAGGAGGTTTGGGGTTAGGGGAATTAGAAGGAGGGGAGGGGCGTAAGCAGGAAAGAAGAGAGTTTTGCAGCAAACAGCCCAAACAGCGAGCAGCAACCGTGGTTTTGCAGAGAGTTTTGCATGGTGCGTAGCTCAAACAGCCCTCCACTACCCGCCACGCTGGGCCCTGCGTCCCCCCCACTTGCCTCTCCCCCCCAGCGCGCTCAACCCCCACCCCCAGCGCGCAACCATCACCCTTCGCCCATCGCTCATCACCGCACACACACCCCTCGTTGCCATGCTCCCCCGCAACGCGCTCACCTGCTGCGACGCGCTCACCTGCTGCGACGCGCTCACCTGCTGCGACGTGGACTCGATGGGTTTGTCCGGCAGCACGACGTCGCCCGTGACGTCAACGACCGTCTCGCGACTCAGCCCCGCCGCGTACTTGACCATGCCCTTGCTCACATGCCCGCCCTCCGCGCCCACCGCCAGCACGCACTGCGCCGTGCACCCGCCCTCGCGCAGCACGATGAACCCCATCTTCCCCTTGGCGCGCACGTTGTGCACGCGCCCGCGCACCAGCACCACCTCGCCCGCGCGCGCGGGGACCAGGTCCGCCACGCGCGTCCACTGCCGCCCCGACACGTGCTTCGACTGCACCTCGTCGGGCGGCAGATCGCCGTAATTCGCGGCGAGCGGGTCCTCCTCCTCTGCGCCGCGCACGACCGGCGGAGGTTGCGGCAGACGCGGAGATGAGGGGGAGTGAGAGCATGGAGCGGGTGAAAGGGTGCGGGGAAGGAAAGCGGAACGAAGTGGGAGCGGGAGGAAGGGGAGGGGTTGGATTTGAAGGAGTGTAAGACGCGTGCGCGCGACGACCGGGATTTAAGGGCGATCGCATGCATAAGCGGAGACGCAAAGGTGCGGCATTGCGTCGACAACGGAGAACGTCACGAAGGCGGGTATCGTCGATCAGGCCGTGGATCGAGAAAATCTCTTTGTTAGAATTCTCAAGAAATCTCTGCAACGTCAAGGCAAATAAAGTCAATCAAACCGCGGATCGAGAAAATTCGACGCACCCGCAGCGGCCTGCTGCTGCTGTTGCTGCTGCGCCTGTCGCGCAGCCAGCCGTTCCGCCTTCTTAGCGGCCTTGGCGTCCTTCTTCGCCCCGGACTTGCTCACCGTTTCCCCCGCATTCCCCGCCGCTTTCTCGGCCTTCTCCCCCTCCGTAATCGTTGCGGCAGCGAGGGAGACCGCCACGTCAGCGGTCGAGGGCGGCGCGTCAGCCATGGAATCTGATCTTATTTGCTCTGATCCGACCTTATCTGATCAAACCTGGCTTCGGAGAGAAGAGCGGCGGGCGGGACGTGGCTGAGGGAATTGGCTTGCCGTCGCGGATAAACGGGGCAGCGTGCGAGAGAAGGCGCAACGAGAAACAGGACTGCAGGTGATTGAAACCCGAACGCTTGTGAGGATTAGCGGAGGTTTTGACTCCATACCTTGCAAGGCTGACAATGCCAAAAATATGAATACCCTCGCGAGTAGTGGCACAGTATCCGTTTGAAGGCTGTTCTGGGATTGTTTCTGTTTTCATTTGACCAGTTGTTAGAAGCATATCTGTTCAAGGCACAAGATATTAACTTCCATGTTCACAATCAACTGAGCGTCCATCACATCAGCAAGGGGGAGAGCCTGGTTGCATTTCACTAGCCAGGCTTCTACAAGCACAACCACCTCAAAAACATGCTCCAACCCAACCAGCAAAAAACCACCCGCTTCCACAGCAGTGCACCCGCCTCAATTGCTGCGGAAGGGTGACGTACGAAATGCGTGGTCAGGAAGGTGGCATGTGCGTGTGGTCGTCATTACTTGTAGTCATCATTGCTTGCATCAGCCCAATCACTCCGTTGCACCACCGTGTTTCGCACATCCCTCACCCTCAGAATCAAATCCAAAGGCCCATTGCCACTGCCACCATCGCAAGCAACAGCTGCTGCCGCTGCTCCCGCTCCAGATGGCACAACCTCAGCCGCAGGATTAGCCGGTGCAAGCTGATGGGTTCTCCCAGCCAGCACGGCGGAAGGCAGGCACGAGGCGGCAGGAGGCAGGGCAGGGGAGCCAAAGTTGCCAAGAAGCAAGGGGTCGACGCGGGAGATGGGATGGATGCCGAGTGTGCCGAGCACACAGCCGCCCACCACCAGCAGTCCCTCCACTGAATGCCCTGCACTGGGGCCCGCCATGGCTGCTCCATGCACTCGCACTGGCGACCTGCATGCACAAAGGGTGCAGCAACAACGAGGGTGACACGTGAACGGCTCGGATTGGCGGTTGCTGAGAGAGCGAGCGTAAGTGGGATGATGTGCACGCAGCACAGGTACAGGCACCACGCCATGCCACGCCATGCCATGCCATGCCATGCCATGAGTTATGCAAACGACAAGGAAAAGCAGCACTCTTCGTGTAAGCTCGTGGCCTGCACTGCAGTGCCCGTTACCCCGTGGGGCGTGGCGAGGCGTGTCTCACCAGTGCAGGGTGCGCATGTTGAGCAGGTGTGCGTCTGACAGGTAGTCTCGTGTGCCGTACGTTGTGCCCTCCACCAGCAGCACCTGATCCGGCCCCACCTGCTCCCACCCACACATAGCGGCACGCAGCACCACGCAGCACCACGCAGCAGCAGGCAGCAGCAGGGGATGTGGAGAATGAGCAAGGAGATTTCGGGACATGCTTGGAGCATGGAGGATGGCGGGAACAAGTAGGTACATAATTCCCAAAGCTTAACGCAGGCAGTCAAAAGCGCGAGGCGCGTGACAGAGCAAGGGAATGCCCCCAGCCCAGAGACGACTGCGCCAGCACACACACACACCTTGGTGATGCCCGATCGGTGGCGCGGCAGCGGCAGCAGAGCAGCGCGGGAGGGCGGGAGGCGTGGAGGAGGGGTCCACACCATGCTCGTTAGGTCCAGAGTGAACGCCTGGGGAGGGGAAGAACGAGGGAGAAAGGGTGCAAGTTAAAGAGGGAAGGACGAGTGGAGCAGGATGGAAAAGGAGCGACCGTAATAGCTGTTACGAAGAAGTTTAGGAGCACCAGGACGTTGCTGCTGCTGCTGCTGCTGCTTTGGAGACTCCCTTCAGAAACCCACATGCAACAAACAACACCAAATGTCCGCCAGCTCTCAAAGGACGTCCCACCCAACCAGTGTGGCAAGAGTGCAGAGCCGGCAGCACACACCCCCACCTGCATGTCCTCCATCTCCTCGTGCTTCTCGCGATACCCGCCAAACACCACCAGCCGCTCCCGCCCCTCCTCGCGCTCCCTGCCACCGCACAGCCGCGGGAGAGATGGACAAGCGTAGCAACGTGTTGGTGAAACAAGGTGAGGTGCGGTGAGGTGAGGTGAGGGAGGAAAGCAATGCGATGTGGCATGGCACGACGAACAACAGGAATGCCGTCCACAGGGACGTAGGGAGGAGACGAGAGCGGGCATGCAAGCATCAGGAGCGGCGCCGCAGGAGCGGCGCCGCAGCAGCGGCACAGAAAGGGCTCTAGAGCGGCAAGCAGAGCGCGGCACTGGCAGCAGCAGCCTTACGAGTGTGTGCACGCGTAGTGCAGGAAGCGCACGCCCGGGCCGCGCCCCCGCGTGACCACTCTGCGCCACGCCATGCGCGCCACGTCCAGCACATACACCACCACCGCGCGCTCCCCCGCCCCTTCCGCGCTTCTTCCCCCGCGCTCCGCGCCTCCCTCGCCTTCGTCCGCCCCCCACGCGCCCGATTCCCCGTCCGCTTCTCTGTACGCCACCGCGCCCTCCGCTTCGCCGGCGCGCACGCCAGCGCTATCCCCGCTCTCCGCGCGCTCCCCGGACGATTCTGTGCGCGCGGCGGAACCGGCGGGACGCGCGCGCACTTCGCAGCACGCGCTTCCGCGCGCGCGTTGATCGCACTCGTCCGCGGAACAGCAGCTGCAGGCGGAGGTTGCGCCACCGAGACTCGTCGTGCCGCTGCTGTAAGCGCAGCTGCTGCTGCTGCAGCCGCTGTCGCTGTCGCTGGCGCTATGAGCAGCAGTGCTGCAAGTGGCGCTGCTACCGCCCAACCACGACTGCCTCAACTCCCCACTCACTCCTCCGCTCCCCTCACCGCCCGCCGACTGTCTCCGCCCCTCCCTCCCGCCGCTCAGAGGGACGCCGTCGACCGCGCCTGCGCCGCGCACGAGCGCGCTGGCCCCGCCATTGAGCGAGCTGCTGCTCGACCCGCCGGCGCACCATCCCGCGGGGGAACGCGGGTCTTGCTGCCCCGACTGCGCAGCAATGCGCCTCCGCCGTTCGAAAAGCTCATGCGCGAGAGGGCGGGTGCCGTTCCGAGAGCGCGCTTGCGCACCACCCTCACTCAGCGCAGGCTCCGCCTCCCCGACGTCCCCCTCCGCCGCATCCCATTCGCGCAACTGCTCGTCCGTCTCATCCGCCCAGTCGTTCAACTGCGCGCCCTCGCCGCTGCAGAGCAGAGCGTGCGCGCGGGCAAGGTTGGAGAGAGGGACGGGGAGAGGGGGAAGGGGAAAGATAAATGACTACAACAGGAGGACAGCGCGCGAGGCGCAGGAACAGGCGCATGCGGAAGAAGCGGAGGGCGCGACGGCAAGAGTGCGAGCTAAGCGGGCGAGGGGACCGGCAGAGCGCGGGAACGGGGGAGAGCACGAGGACGGGGGAGAGGGTTTACCCGAAGACGACGACGTGCGAGCCGCGGTCGAAGGAGCACATGGTGTGGTGGAAGCGCGGGCACGGCGCCGCGCCAGTGGCGGCGGCTCTGCGCCACACGACGCGGCGACCGTCGTCCGTGACGGCGAGGAAGAACGACTCCTCCGCGCCGTACACCCCGCCCTGCTCCACGCGACGCGCGGGGGTTACGCCGGGAGGAGGAGGGGAGAGCACGGGGAAAGAGCGGCTGGTTGAGGGACAAGCGGCGAGCGATGGGCGCAGAAAAAAAAATAATGTGCACGTTGACGAAAAAGTTAGTGGCATGGAAGAAGAACCCATGCGCTTATTAAGAGCCCTTTCAAGGACGCAGGCGCGGGGAGCAACACGGCAGCACGGCCGAGTGGAGTGCGTGGGTCATTGCAGGGACGGGTGCAGGGACGGGTGCAGGGACGGGTGCGCGCACCTGTAGGTTGTACCCCCCGAACACGAACAGCACGGGGTCCGCAGGCCCCGCGAACCCATGGCGGAACGACTCCGCCACGCGCACGGGCACCGTGGTGTGGCGGAAGCGGGGGAGCGGCGGGGCGTCGTCCGCAAAGACGTGCACGAGCGGGTGGCGCATGGCCATGGTGGCGGTGTTGAGCAGCACCACGTCCATCACCGCCTGCCCGCTGCGCATCAGCCCGCCAATGATGACCTGCCACGTGCCCACCTGGCGGTAGAGAACGCGGGGGGAGGCAATGCATGTGCGCGCTGCGATGTTGACGGAAGGCGACGCGAGGAAGAGCGCGCGACGGTTTGTGTATGAGAGCGGGGAAACGAGCTCGGCGCGGGGGGACGAGGGAACAGGACGGGGAAGGGGAACCAGGGGGAAGCGCGAACGGGGGGAATGCGAACGGGGGTAGGGAGTACATACCTCGGTGGCGGAATGCCCCGTGCGCTCCAGCGATTCCAGCGCGCTGACCGCCGTCTCGTCGTACGGACACACGCCCGCAACGGGCGGCGCCGCCATGGGCAACAGCGGCGCCGTCACCACCCCGCCCTCCTCCTGCTTGCTGCGCCTGGCCGCTATCAGACTGCGCAGATCACACAGAGGAACCGGGGGGGAACGGCAGCGACGTGAAGAGCGTCGGGCGATACGGACGGAAGATCGCGAGGGTTATGTAATCGCGGAACGTGACGGCTCGCGTCAGACGGGGAAACGTAGGCGAACATGTGCGGGGATTCGGGGGGAAGTGTCGAGGGCGGAGCGCGAGCAATGCTTAGGCGGCGCACCTTTGGCGGAAGATCTCGCCGCCGTTAGGCCACCACTGCAGCTCGACGGCTCTGATGCTCGCGCCGAGGACGCGATGCCAGAACCACGCCTGCACGCGACCGCCGTCGCCCTCCAACAGCCACCGCCGCTGCCGCCCTTGGTCCCCCGCACGCGTTTCAAGCGGCACGCGACTGGACCGTCCCGGGTCATCTGCGGACGCGCCGCTCAGCCGCCATGGATCGTCGAGCTGGTCGGCGGGCGGGTGTTGCACGTTCTGCTGCTCCGCGGAAGTCTCTTCCGCGTGGCGATGCATAGCGAAGGCACGATGCAAGGCGCAAATGGAGGGGCCGAGGCGCGACAAGCAGAGGCTGCGCATCACGGCGGGGCGACACAAGACATGACAACGAAATTCGTTCGGTGCTGTTTGAAGGTTTCGCGTGAAAGTGGAGTAGCAGCTAAGAAAAATCAGATGCGCGTGGAACATGAAGGGGGGAGAACGGAAAAGGCGGAAGGGCAACGGAACCACAGGGTTGGCATGGCTAGGTTTGGATACGGACGCGTAAGGACGGGCGAACGACGAGTTTCGGCGCTATATAAAGTGGAAAAGCGACGCAGCGTGATGGCGGTGGGCAGATTACGGATCATTTGAGTACCTGTGCCATCTATCGGAAGCATGCGCGTTATCATGGGAGAGTATCTCGTGGCGCATGGCCGCACAGGTGCAGGCGAGCCTCGCGAGAGAGACGCCATCGAGCAGGTCTAGTACTCGAGCTTGGACCTCTAATGGTAGCAGGAGAAAAGGGGATGCTTCGTCTCTTCTAAACGGCTTGCGCAGAAACATCTGTGGAGCGGGACTTGGCGAGACAGGACGTGTTACGGTGAAGGTGTTGACGGGAGCCATGGCTGTCAGAACTACCTCCCCAACACTTGCTGGAGAGAGATGCACTTGTTGCCCAAACGAGATAGCAGGTGGAATAAATCGGAACGAAACGAAACCCTAGAAAATTGGCAGCAGTCACCTTCCGCGTTGACAGCCGCACTGCGCTCCCATCGCCCATGCTCGTGACGAACCAAGAGACCCACTTACAACAGTGGCTCCGCTCCGCTCCCGAGCCCGACTTGCATTCCTCGGGGGCACCGTGGAACATTCCTGGGATCTCCGACAGGCAGACGGCTCTTGACAAGTCGCCTGTATTGGGAATTGATCAGACTGGGGCCCCGGGTTAGCAGAAACAGTGCCAACTTGGGGCCTCGTGAGTCGCGACCCTACGAAATAGGCCCGAAGCAAATCACAAGACTGGGCAGCAGGTCCGAACCTGGCAAACTCGCCAGGTCACCACCTACTGCCTTGGGTTTGACGGAAATCGCTAGCACCCCACACCGCTGGAAGCACAACAATCCGTCAAACCAACACAGTCTGATCGAGATACAGCACAAGCAGCATGTAACAAACAACTCGGAATTATTACGGAAACATAAGACTGCCAGAACACAAAGAGCTGAAACATGAAAATTAATAAAATGAGTGGGCACAAAATGGGGAGGTTCATGACCTTTTTCTGTTAGAGAAATTTCAACCAACCTACCCACATTCTTTCAGAATATGTATACATACATATATGATTTACATGCAAGTGCTTCCCTTGTAAAATCTTCGATGAAAAATCTTCTACCGTATTCCCCCGGATATACCACCCTAGGGTGCTATGATAACTACACAAAAAAAAGGGGGGGTCTTGTCATCGGAAAAAGCTTCATTGCACCCGGGTCTTTACATAATGTGTATTTTTTTTATAGCGTAAAACGATTTAGTACAGATGTAAAACAAAAATACAGATGTACATTTAGTACTAATCGTTTTACGCTATAAAAAAAATACACATTATGTAAAGACCCGGGTGCAATGAAGCTTTTTCCGATGACAAGACCCCCCCTTTTTTTTGTGTAGTTATCATAGCACCCTAGGGTGGTATATCCGGGGGAATACGGTAGAAGATTTTTCATCGAAGATTTTACAAGGGAAGCACTTGCATGTAAATCATATATGTATGTATACATATTCTGAAAGAATGTGGGTAGGTTGGTTGAAATTTCTCTAACAGAAAAAGGTCATGAACCTCCCCATTTTGTGCCCACTCATTTTATTAATTTTCATGTTTCAGCTCTTTGTGTTCTGGCAGTCTTATGTTTCCGTAATAATTCCGAGTTGTTTGTTACATGCTGCTTGTGCTGTATCTCGATCAGACTGTGTTGGTTTGACGGATTGTTGTGCTTCCAGCGGTGTGGGGTGCTAGCGATTTCCGTCAAACCCAAGGCAGTAGGTGGTGACCTGGCGAGTTTGCCAGGTTCGGACCTGCTGCCCAGTCTTGTGATTTGCTTCGGGCCTATTTCGTAGGGTCGCGACTCACGAGGCCCCAAGTTGGCACTGTTTCTGCTAACCCGGGGCCCCAGTCTGATCAATTCCCGCCTGTATTTGTGGTTGGTCCGCCATCTGTCTTTCTTACAGCTGCCCAGACCCAAACGCCCACCATTTGCAGCATTCGAAATCTACCGAGATGTACCCTCCATCCAAAAGATTATAAAAGTTTTAGCAGGTTCGCGTGTACTGACCCCATGTACAGTAAACCAAGTTCGTGTTCCTGAACTGTACTGTAGATCACCAGTGAATCAGTGAAATTCGCGGTCTGGAAAGTTGCAAACTCAACGTCTATCTGCCAAGTCCTTTTCATTTCCCGTACAGTGTACAGTACTACCATACATAACTTGACAGGCGCGGCAAGCCACAAATTGCAGCCGCGTCTGGCGGGTGAGCGCGCGGTTCTAATCCGTGTGAAGTTATCCACCACCGTAAAATCAGCAGTGTTGTCTAAGCATTTTGAACGCCTGGGCGACAGATTCTCTAAACTGGCACTGACAGTGTAAAGCTATATCTACCCTCAACCAACCCTTCTTGTTGTGCTGTACAAGATGTCCTTTCGAACTCCCGAAAACTGTGTGGCCATAGGTACCTACAACCACTCCCCAAACTTGTTGTCCACAGCTGGACGTGGTGCAAAATTCGCACTCCAATACCTCCCCACAAAGCCTTGCGAAACCAAAATCAGTGACGGGCCCACCCACTCTCTATTGGTTGCTGTGAAAGCCCCGCGACAGCTACGGGAAGGACACACGAAATTTAAATTGTTGTAGCCTTCAACCAACAACATATGATGAACAAAACTCAACTCCTCCGCCACTGGGAGGCGCGACAGACTATCTTCTGCACTGTAGCTAGGCAAGTCTCAGATGCTTGCTGGTTCGATAAGCCGATACGTAAAGCAGCCACCCCATCACACAGATCATCCCGCACCACTCACCCATCTGTCCACCCCCCCCCACAAAAAAAAAAACAAACAAACAAACAAAAAGACACGCAAACACATACAAAAGGGCTTTTTACACTTGTTTCTGTTTACGAGAAGTTTCTTAAAAGACACCTAAGGCATGAAGCCGGTCCTTTCTTCTCGACTTCCATTTGTGGGTAAGAAATCTGTGCATGTTGGCCACAATTTGGCGTCCAATACTACTTCTGGATGCACACCATAGCTGTGCAGGTACATCAACGACACATGTATAACATGGATTCTATCGTCTTTCATCGATCCAGAGCTGACCCTGTTGGATCTGGTCTGGTTGCCTTCGATTACACCGGAAATGCCGCCCAAACAAGGATGACATTCCTAGAAACTTTCGAGGCAGACTTAGAAACAATATGCACTACTTCGTGCCCAGCTTTGGCGAGAAGGAATCAAACGTAAATCTAAGATGAAATTGTTTCTTAAAAATATCGTAAATCTGACTTTGCGGACATAAATCGTCAGGGTCAATATACGAGTGTTGTATTCGTCATCCAATGCTATGAAGTGACTTGATTGATTGCATTATATTATGATTGATTGGGCTAAATCATGTCGTTCATCAAATTGGGGAGGGGGGGGGGGGGGGGGGGGGGGGGGGGGGGGGGGGGGGGGGGGGGAGGGTTCAGTTAAGTGCCTTGATAGCTTGAATTTGGCTTCATGGCTTCCAGGAAATTATTGACTGACTCTGATCACAACCATTTAATTGAATAGTTCAGACATCCTTACAGCTAAAATGGAAGGAGGGGCGAGTAGCAAAACCGCTTTTAAAATATATATATAACATTCGAATGTAAAACAAGCGCAACGCGGTGCTCTTATGTCAAAATTTACAAAAATCCGGACAACCGTGGTATAAACCAGATTTACTATAATAATATTTCTAGAACATAATTTTCCCATTCCTTTTACATTCAAACCGCGCTTCTCATCATACCGCTTTCCCGTATCACTATCACGTGACTAACAGCATAAATAAGAAGATGTTATTATTGAGCGTGGCGGGAACATTATCGTGAGATGTAAAAGCTAACACAGTCAACGAAAGAAAGAGGGTAGAAAACAATAAATATGTAAATTGGGAAATCTGGTTTTGTTCAATTATAAGAATCCTGGTTTAGTTCAATCAACATCGGAGCTGATTTTGTTTACAAAACAATTATCAACCATGTCACGTGGCAAAAAATTCCTCTAAATAGGCATGTTAGAAAACGCTCCCATATTTGAAACCCTGTTAGCGAGGGCTCTAAATCCATAACTTTTGTAGTTGGGGGCACTCCAAAATCGGGGGCGTTTCGGTCACATCACACCTCGATTTTTTTTTTTCTCAACTTGGCTGTTTCCCCAGCGCAGCTGGGGGCGTGGCGGGTGTGGCATCCAATCTGACATCCAGCATGGTTGAAACAAAATTTTCGAACGCGTAAACCACTTCGAACGAAACGCGCCGAAACCGCAAGAGTAGGGAATTCCATCGTTCTGTACACGTATTCACGTCATAAACAAACCAGCATTTGCAATCTGATCGCAAAACGTAACTCCGAAAACAGTTGAATTGATCACAAATCCTGCCTTACGGGCACTGGTCCTAGTGGTTTAGTGGGGCGGGCGACTTGGGTACCTTGTCCTTACGCACGATACCATTCACGCTCCACTTTCCCAGGCTGCCATAAAGTGAGCCCGACACAGACGTTTCGCCAGCCTACAACAAGCTCGCCATAGGAGCAGGAGAGTTTTTCCTTCTTGTTCCGGTATAATCATATGCACACATCCACATTCTTCAAACAAGCAGGCAAAATAGTGACCCTGAATTTGAGCTGGGTCCAACTATAACTTTTACGTTGGCTTGTTATTTTCCCCCTGTTGAAGGAAAGTCCTCAGCGACGAACCGAATTTACATTTTTTCCGATCCCTAGTATAACGACTAGAGGAGTCGCAACATACACAAAATCGTAGCAAGCATACAATCGCATTTTCGCGTCTCCAACCAATCCAAATTTGCATCAAGCTTGTTGATTCATACTTTATGAAAGTAAATGCTAACCTCACGCCTAGCACCACACACGTAGCATACCCATAATTGTTGAGCTAACTAAATACGCTGGGGGATGCACCTGAGTAGGAACAGAGTGACAAATTGATGGTGCAGGGTGGAAACCCATTCGGACAGGCATGATGATGAGAATGGCAAAGATAAAGAGTGTATATTCAGTGAGACGCGACGTGAGAGCGCAAGGGCGGCGACTGGGAAGGAGACAACTAGGTAGCTACTATGAAAGTTGTGCTAATTATGATATCGGCTGATGCTGGAACAATCAGTCAAAAAGTGAGGATACATTCCGCTCTGGACACAAATGTCTCAATCGCACATAAAACTGTTGTACCAGTCTGCACCGCATTACACCTAATTGCTGAACATTTCCACCGCACTGCATCTCTTCGTTTGAGA